GAGGGGAGAATTACATCAGTTTTGGTGCTTTTTTCCTAACAGAAACTATCTGAACACTGCTTGAAATCAGAAAAGCTAAATCCTGAAGGAAAAATCCTGGTGAGAAGATGAAGTAAACAAGAGTGTATCACAAATAAATTATTGGTACCAAAAGAGGTAGGGGTGAGTATATGTGTGAGTGTGTGCGTGTGTGAGTGTGTGCGTGTGTGCGTGTGTGCATGTGCGTGTGTGTGTGCGTGTGTGTGTGTGCGTGTGTGCATCTACACATATGACGATTTAAATGTCCCAAGAACAGCAATAATAACAATAAAAGAGATGGTTTTTCAAAACCGGGGTGAAGCATCTGAAGCCAAAGGCAGAGGGACAGAACATAACTAGTCCTAGGAATAACACAAGGAAAATTGTTGATAAAGATCAGTGCAGTGCTCGTGAACTAAAAACCAGAGAGCTTACCACGAAGAAACTACTGGGTGCTGAGGCGAAAACAGGAAGAAAAGGGAATAGTCCAAAAAACGGGCTGAACGGCCCCCTGCCCTCCCAAACATGGCTCGAGCACGGAGAAGGTAGGAGCGGCGTAAAAGAGTGAAACGTGACAGTACATACAGGAATATTGCCTTAGCATACAAAGTTATTTCACAGGTAAAAAGATATTTTAAACCTCTTTACATGCACTACACAAGAAGCTAATTTACAAGGAATAGATTTGGGGACTGGGGGAAGGGAGAAAGAAGGGATGTCCCTAGGACGGGGGCATCTAAAAAAGTTCAAGGCCAAATAAGCAATACTGAATTTGGTGAGGCAAATCAAAGGTTTGGGTTTTTGTTTTAAAGCTGAGTTACTGAGCTGTTAACAAACACTGAGCTAATACCTCAAAGCTGTGGCCTGAAGTATTTTACCTTTCTTTCTTCACTACTTTGTTTGCCTTCTGCAGCTGCTATTACCATGTTGAACGTTTATATATTCTTCTGCATGTTTCAGGTACTAAAACACAGTTGACTATACACAGTTTTTAAATGGCAGAGCCACTTACAAACACTAGGCAGATCACCATTCTGTTACTGCTTTTACTAACAATTCTGTCATTTTTCAAACTAGTTGCAACTTGTGCAAGTAACCATACAAACTCATCACCTCACGTCTAATTCCTTCACTAACCTTTCTTTCAACAAAGCAGCAATGTCCAAGCCTTACTCTCGTAGGCGTTGATGGGATTTATAAGTGGTTCCCAATTACAAAACCATATTTGTCATTGTATAGGAACGTGTCCTATCTCCTCTGATCGGGAGACGTGTATTGCATGCTCTGAAAGATAATTCTGATTTTTTTTTTTCCTCCTAAGCAAAATTGTAGACGTGAACATAAATACGAAAGGACTCCCAGGAGTCACTTAGAAGAAACAAGTTTACTTTGAGCCTATCATACGCTCATGGTAAAATTTGAGTGCTCCGTAGCAAGGGCTTGACACAGCTCTGCTGAAATCAGTGGTATTTGTCAGAGAGGAAGAACGGAGCAGACACTGGAAACGGATCAAGGAACTAGCACAAGATGAGAAGTTGCTCGATCATTAGCTCTTAAATTAAGCTTAGGCCTTCTTCGTGAGGTAAGCGGACAAGAACAGTCAACAAAAACCTGCGTCGATCACCACATCCACATGGCTCTCAACTCCTCTTTGTAGCTTTACTTCTAAATTAAAGAGAAAAACACATGGCATCAGGCCAAAGCAGAACAAGCGAGGGAATGGACACAAGTCCATAGCATTGCTCGCCTGCTTTAAGATTGCTGCTCTATTCCAAGCATGCCGTCCACCACGCTTATAGGATTGCTTCAAATTTGGGTTTTGTCACCCCCCAAAGAGTTTTTCTCTTTGTTAGCTAGTTAAAAGGAAAACAACAATTATAATTAACGGTCAGAATTAAGGACTTTTTCCTTCAGTTTCATAGAGAAAGAAAATAAAAGGATTCAATGGCTAAGATGCCTTTTTTTAAAAAATTGCTAGCAAGTTACAGGCGAGCGATCGCCTCTTTCGTCTCTACAAGATTAAGGTCCCTTCCCAAAGCCTGCTCCTCGGGTTTGCACGTTATGACTTCCTGCCCTTCCGAGGGTTTAAATCCGAGTATCCTGGAGGGGGACGGCTCCGAAGCACCGGTGGTGGTGGGGACAGCCGGTGCCCCTCCGTGGCAGCAGGGCCCGGGCGCCCCCAAACCCCTGTCCGGGGGGGAGCCCAGGCGCAGGAAGGGCGGCCGAGGGCACCGCGCTCCCAGCCGCGGCGCTCCAGCCGCCAAAAGCCTGCGCCTGCCGGGCCTGCCGGCAGCCCTCCGCTCCACCCCCTTCGCTCTCCGTGCCGAACATCAAATTTCCATTCGGTTTTTACCAAAATAAATAAATAAATAAAATAATCATCTTAACCACTGCAACACTTTTTCACAGACGACCCACTCCCGGAGCTTTTCTCCCAGTAGGAGAATCCAGCCCTGTTAATTGTCACTTCGTTTTAACTCTTCCTTGAATCCTTCTTTTCAAGCAAAATAGCAAGTCAAAAAGCGTTCCGCTCCACTTTGAAAGTTTAATTACTAAATACCTGTTTTCACAGAATCACAGAATCACAGAATGGTTTAGGTTGGAAGGGACCTCTGGAGATCATCTAGTCCAACCTCCCTGCTCAAGCAGGGTCACCTAGAGCATATTGCCCAGGATCACATCCAGACGGGTTTTGAATATCTCCAGGGAAGGAGACTCCACCACCTCTCTGGGCAACCTGTTCCAATGCTCTGTCACCCTCACAGTGAAGAAGTTTTTTCTCAGGTTCAGATGGAACTTCCTGTGGTTCCGTTTCGGCCCATTGCCGCTTGTCCTGTTGCTGGGCACCACGGAGAAGAGGCTGGCCTCATCCTCTTGACACTCCCCCCCTTCAGATACTTGTACACGTTGATGAGATCACCTCTCAGTCTTCTCTTCTCCAGGCTGAACAGGCCCAGCTCTTGCAGTCTTTCTTCATAGGAGAGGTGCTCCAGCCCTCTAATCATCTTGGTAGCCCTCCGCTGGACTCTCTCCAGGAGTGCCATGTCTCTCTTGTACTGGGGAGCCCAGAACTGGACACAGTACTCCAGGTGAGGCCTCCCCAGGGCTGAGCAGAGGGGCAGGATCACCTCCCTCGACCCGCTGGCAACACTCTGCCTAATGCAGCCCAGGAGACCATTGGCCGCCTTGGCCACAAGGGCACACTGCTGGCTCATGTTTAACTTGTTGTCCACCAGCACAGCTTGAAGTTATGAATACCTTCAGTCCCCTTGTTTACTGTGAGAGGTATAGTCACAATGTATATATACTTTGCTCTATATAAAAAGAAATCAAATCGTGATTTGCATAAAAATTTCTCAGAGCATTTCTCAATTTGATACATTGTGCTAAAAATATTTATCTTTACCATTATGGTAAAGTACATACCAATGAACAGCCACAGGAATTGCTCATGCTGGATATATTAAACCCCCAGTGATTTACCACAGAACTGCTGTATTCACATAAAATTTTATGGCAAATTTACAATCTGTCAACTTGACCTCATCTGATTACACAGGATTTCTTCATCTTACTTTAACAAGATCTACATGAAAGTTAGAAATTACATTTCTTGTTTCTAGTATTGACTTCAGTTCAGTAAAGGAAAAAATAACTGCTCAAAGCATAATTACTTTGCCACGACCTCATTTCTAACCAGAAATGCTGCAACGACGGCAGCGTGCAACGGGAAGGCACTGCAGAAATGCCTGCTGCAGGGTTTAGAGGAATAGGAAAATTGTTGTTTTCAGTATTTGACCAGAAACCACTCAACTCCAAATCCAGGTCTGTGCAAGTGCTTCATTTTATGGATGAGTAAATAACCTAATCCTAACAGGTTTATTCCAATCTTTCTAGACATTTCACTCATGAGCTGCTTCTGAAGAAAGTTCTGAATAGTACTCTAATAAAAATAAGATAGAACCTCAATATGAATGCAATGTTAGAAATAGACAGCATATATTACAAATCTTTTCTTGATAGGAACAATTAATAAGAATACATATTAGCTTAAAAACAGTTCAGCAAATGTTGCTGATCTGCAAGAAATCTCAGTTCACTATTTACAAATAAGACAAAGTGAATACAGGAAATTTTACACATTTGGTAGTCAATACGTTATTGTTTGCCAAGTGGTCTATTAGAAACTGATATTTAGGAAGACTGGAAAAAAAACCAACCAGGTATTACCTCTTCAGTCTATATTTTAAGTACAGAAAATTGGATAATGAATACTGGAGATAACATTCTGCCTCATTAGGGGGATCGGGGACAGATGATACAATGCCAAGAATTCTGTCATGAACTCCATTAAAATGTTCTGTGTACAGGATTCTTAATAAATATACTTAGCCCTACTAAAAAGCAACAGTTGCAACCAGTTTAGTCCTGCATCTGCCAAGAACTCACACTCCTGCACTTGCCAATTCAGAACAGTTTAATGATTTTTTTTCTATACATAAAAAGTTGTAAAGAAAGTCAAGTTTAGATACTTGCATCAACACAGAAGATCAGTTACTCACAATATCACTTAAATGAGATGATAAAACCAATGGCCCAACACACACTTAAATTCACACAAAAAGGGGATTTTAGGAACATTTTTTACAGTTTACACTGCAGTCCAGCATGAAAGCAAGATACAGTAACTGTATTGGTCCAGTCTTGCAGAACATTTTACTAAGCAGTATGACAGTCTTATCTGTACAAGGAGCACCTCTTTTCAAATCTGCTTCTCTTCAACATCATTCACCTCTTATCTGTGAGACCAGAATGAGTATGCCCCTCGCCCCCATCAGGAAAAGAAAAGGAAATGTCAAATAATCAAGAACAAAAAATTTACAATACATTTTTTCCCCTTTTGATGAGAATCCTTTTCTGTACAAGTGTTTTTTGTCATCTAATACTGTTTAAAAAGCTATCAGCTTCTTCAAGATGGCCACTGTAGGCATGATAATATTCCAGGAATATTTAAATAACAGTTTTTACAATAAATTTAGGTCCATATCATTAGATTACTTTATATGCACTGGTCTCTCATCTGATATTAGACGTTTTCTACGTGGCTGTATAAAATCTTCATCGGAGTCCTCAGTTATTTCACCATCATCCTCTTCCTGCTCAAATTCAGGCAAAGGCTGGAAGGTCCTGTCTGGGTAGATCTCTGTAAGTTTATCTTCAAAGTATAACGCAACTGCCTTCCCTGCCTGTGCTACTTCTGAATCAGCCTTCAAATTAATCTCTTGTGTTTCTGCATAAACTTGAACAACTTTCATCATTTCATTAAACCTTTCACAGTTCTTGAAGATCAACCGGACATCTGCCACAAAATCCTCAGGAGTTTGGTAATGTTGAGAATGTTTCTTTTGCAGTTTCTTTTTCACTGTAGATAAATCCATTGGTTTCTTTATAATTTTATAGTAGTTTGGTATCGAGGCTGGGACTGGCTCTTGAAATTCAATGCTCGGCTCATGACAATACAGGTAAAGCAGGAGACGTTCACATTTCCTTTGGTCCACAGGACTGAGGCCTTGTGCTGTTTTCCCCTTCTTACTGTGTTGCGAATTGTCACAGTCATATTCTACCTCTGGTTTGCTTAGATCTCTGCAGAACGTACATATCCACTCCCCACTTGGAAAGCTGAGGAGTGTTGGTACCTGACAAGTCAGGTGGAACACTTTTGGGCACTTTTCACAGCATAGTAGATAGCGTTTTAATACCACATGCCCGGCTAGGCAATCAGGACCAACCCGTCAACAAAACAGACCTCAAAAACTTTAAGTTTACATCAGGTGAAGACACGAAAACGGAATTTAAAACAAGAGGTAGCGTAGGTTAATCACGCCGCCCCTTGCCGCCGCTCGCTCCTCTTCCCCTCACACGCGGCTGCCCGCCTGAGCC